GATTTGATATTTCTCAAAATAGAAAGACATTTGTTTGTTAGTTTAAGTGCTAAGTGTAGTTTTGTTGCTTTTAAAGAAAAGGCATAGTGTTTTTTAGGCACTATATATATTTTTGGTATTATTTGATTTGCAACTTTTTTGATTGAATTTGACCATTTGTTCCATAGAATGTTTAATTATTGTAGTGTTGTAATATTGTGAATCAGATTTATTAACTTGATTTAAGTTTCTAATTTGTTAGTGAAGTCTTCTTATGTGTCTGTTGTCATTTGGTGATAGAGGTATATCTTTCTTTTCTTTTTTTTGGATCTAGGTATCTTTAGTTGAAAGTTTGTTTTCCAAGTAGTAGTAATTATTGTATGATCACTATCAGTAATATTAACTGAGTCAGTAATTAAGAGTAGGGTAAAGTTTAAGAGGATTTCAGAATTGATCAATATATTATCGATCTGACTTTGGTTTGAGCCTCTTTGCCATGTTGGTTCTGTTATAGTATAGAATTCTAGTAAACTTGTAGATGATAAAGATTGAAGTGATGAGAATAGATTTGCTGATCGCTTGCATCTGTTTGAGTTGCATTAAAATCTCCCATTATAATAGTATGCCAGTTATTGCTTCTTGTTTGGGTTAATTAATTTATAATTGTGTTTTGAGTAGATTTAAGTTGTTCTGAATGGTTTGAAGGTAAGTATAATGAAATTATACAAAGTTTATTGTTGGCAGGAAGGTAAAAATCAATGCAGATTGCAATGCCTGAAATGGTTTGTATGTTAAATATAAAAGGTTAAAGTGAGTTATGAAGTATAATCGCAGTCTTTATGCTGGCTTTATGTTAAGAGCTGTCCTTGGATATAAAATTTGATATGTAAATTTTGTAGAGTGGATTGAAGAGTTCTGCAAATGAAGAGTTTTTTAGTTTTGTTTCTGTAATAGAAACAATGTGATAATTATTTTAACACAGAATTCAAGCCATATTTGTAACTTTAGTAGATTATTGAGTCCTTGAGTATTATAAGTAGCAATGTTAAGATGATCTTTAATGTTTATAGTAAAATTGTTTATTGAAGTATTTGATAATTTAGTTGAGTTGTTATTGTCTATTTGGAAGGATTGTAAATCCAGTTTTAATTGTGTAAAGCTTATTGTTAAGGGGAATAGTTGTCAAAAATATCCCAGTGAGGGTCTGGTAGCTTGGGAAGTTCAAAGAGTTGTAGAGATAAACCTTGGAAAGAGAAGTGATTACGAAGTTGTGAGATGATGTCTTCTATCTGTTCATGTGTTGTAATTGGTAGTTGAATAGTTTGAGATTGATCTAATTCTCTTAAAGTTGTTTGGATTTCATCAAGACTTGAAGGAAGGTTTGGTTTAGTATTTTCTTTTCTTGTAGTATTATTAATTGAGATTCATTCTGCAGTCAGTTGATAGAAGAAGTAGTGTGTACAGAGTTGTCTAGCAGTTTCTACTAAGATTTTAGAGCTTGTAATAGGAAGTGTTAGATTAAGCTCAGTAATCAAAATAGAATCTGTAGATAATTGAGGTTTGTTTGTAGGGTTTACAGTCATATACTCTAGTGGTAGTAGGATATTGAATTTGTATATATCTTGTATTTCTGGTAGGAATTCCTTTGCCAGATGATAATCAGTTATAGGAAAACTGTAGGTAATAGAAGTCTTGATTTGATTTGGTTCTTTTGGAAGTAGTTTTTTTTGGATAAAGTAGTCATTTGGGATTTTGTGAAAGCTATAATGCTCTCAGAGAATGTTTACGTAGCATTTGAAATTAGTTGAATCTTTGGGGTTGTAAGGAAAGAGGTATCTCACAGCTGAATTAAGATTTTGTGGTGTTGATGGTAAGGGTTTCTGAGTAGGTAGTAGGTTAAAATAATTAGATAATATATAGTCAAAGTTATAATATTTGCGCAATTTTTGTCTGTATTTTGCTAGATAGGCTAATTCAGATTAGCTTGTTATTGAAAAAATTGCATGTGTTTCTGTATTTAGATCAATTGAATTATTAGGAAGAGGGATAATGGGATTAGCAAAGTAGCTGTCATTGAGTTGATCAAAAGTGTAGATTTTATAAAATGCTAGTACTGTTGCTCATATAAATTTTTGATCCTCAATTAGAAGTGGAAAAGGAAGTATTTCTTTTATGTTTTGGTCAATTAGATCTGGAAAAGTTGGTAGTGAAATGAGAAGTTGAGAGTGTGCTTCATTTAGGAGTTTTCATGTTTCTTCAAAAGTAAGTACACAAGCGATTTGTGCAAGGTTAAGACAGTAGAATATGTATTTTGTATATTTATGAGGACTTGTTATAAGAAAATCCAAGTTTCTAATATAATCTAAAGCAAGTTTGATTTTAAGTTTTTTGTGAATTTGGTCTCTATTAACTTTGTTGATCAAAATAGTGTTGTGTAATTTTTTGTATTTTTCGGTATAGTGAATTGAATTCTTTTTGATGTTGTGAAGCTGTAGCTTTTGTTCTTGTAAAAGAATGAAAGAATGCTATATTTAGGTAATTAAATTTTTGGTTAATAGTATATGGAATATTATGATTTGGAAGAATAGTTTGAATTTTATGGATAAAGAATTCTAAAAGTTGTTGTCTGTCATTAAGGGCTTCAATCATTTTGTCATTGTTCCAAGTTTGAAGATTAAAGTTAAGTACTCATCTTGTAGCGAGGGCTTTAGTTACAGAGTTACACCAATTGAAGGTTGTGTTATTTTTTGGTTTTGATAACTTGGATGTTAATGCTTTGCTATATGATTGCTTGGTGACTTGTTGATAATCTTTAGAAGTATTAGAGATGGTGTCCATGTTGTCAGTCTGCATATTTAACATAGAGTTTAATTGAGTTGATAAGGTTTCTGTAAATATAATTGGTTTGAGGTTTCATGGATTGTTTTCTGGAATAAAGCTGTTGGGTATAGATGCTGAATATGATGGATCAGGTAATGTGATAATGAGGTTTTGGGGTATGAGAATATTTGCTGTTTTGGGTATGTTTGTTTTGGTGACTATAGTGTATGATGTCATTTAAGATTTTGTAAGAAGTGAATTGGATTACTCACTTTTTGTTAAATTTTTTTGACAAGAGTAGGATGTAAAAGAAACAGAAGAGTTAGAGTTGTTAGTTTTATTTTTTTTTAAAGGAGAGAAGTTTGTTTTTAGTTCTGCATTTTCTTTAGGTCTTTCAATTGGAAGGGCTTGAGATGTCACTAGTGTAACTTGATTATTCAGTTGAACTGGGGCCTGTAGGGATCCATTTGCGAAGGTAGCAGCACTGAGTCGGTGTTAAGGAAAGTTTTGGAGTCTTGTAGTTTAGTAGTTGAGGTTCTTTGTCTTTTGACTATGTTGAATAGGTCTTAGGTATTCTGAAAGTTTATTTTCTCTCTTTTATAAGTATCTTTTGTTCTATTTAATTAATATGTTCGATATTTTAGTACCAGTTTTGTTTACTTTTTGTTTTTTCAATGATCTACGGAAAGAGTTTTTTTTTTTATAATTCAATTATATTTGATTTGTAAGAATAAATCTTATTAAATTAAATACATTATAATAAGTGTTCAAATTTGTGACATTTATCTTTACATAATCTCTCAATGAGATTTATTTTACTTGCATTATTATGAAGATTGGTTATTAATACATTTGATAATTTGTAATTTCAAAGTTATCATTATGAAACATAGTTTAGATAGCTCTTGTAATGTCGACATATTAGTATGGATTTTTGTTCAGAATGGATACAATAGTAAATCAAATATTACGGAATAATGCAAATTTTACGGCACAAGTCAAATGTTACTATATAAATCAGATATTACGGCAGAAGTCAAATGTTACGATACAGGTCAAATGTTACGGCACAAGTCGAATGTTCTACATAAGTCATATATTACAGCAGAAGTTAAATGTTATGGCACAGGTCAAATGTTACGATATACATTACTTACGACTTTTTGACGCATCATAATGTCATTGAGTTATGTCTGATTGACATTATAACTTCACCATAAGTTTGCATCTATACTATGTTTGTAATTAGACTTGCCTGATACACCCCAATAAAAGATCCATAAATGCTAGTTAATGTAATATAAACATGAATAGAGATGCTGATGAAAATAATTTCACGAAATTTCACATTCAACATCGATTTTATCAATAATAATGAAATTCTTTACCACTAATATAATTTCACTACCAACTTTACATGTAAACATCGTAGTAGAAAGAAATTTTATTGAATTAGTATCATCACGAAGTTGTTTTTTTATAAACTTTATATAGCTCTATAAAGTTATATAAATATTATATAAAATTTTTATATAGGTCTACAAACTCAATGTAGACTTATATAATAAAAATTTTTATATGTAAACTACGTAATTTCTATATATAATATTATTTATTATATAAAATCTATGCAAATTTTATTTATATCTATATAAAAATAATTTAATTTACTTCAGCAATTTCTCAAAAGTAACCAAGGTAATCACCGATCGATGCACTAAGTAAAAATGTTCAGCATGCTCGAAAACCTTCCCCAAACCCTTAATTTAAACTTTAAAATCTAATCCTAGCTTTAATATTTAAGTTAAAATTTTTTTGCTATTTTATATAATTCTACATAGAAATATTTATAACTTTATATAAATAGTTATGTAAACCTACATTGGGTTTATAACGTTTTTGTAAGGTACATAAAAATTCTACATAACTCTACATAAAAACAACTTCATGATGATTGCAAAAGCATACATAGTGAACCTATGGTTTTGGAGGAAAAAAATCGTTATACAGTTGACCCTCTCAGAATCGGTATGCATGGTGGACAGGTTTTGTATCAGCTTTAAAAGGTTATCGGATTTGAAAACATAGTAAAATTATTAGATTTATATAACAGGAACGTACTTGGTAGACTAATTTTTTATCAGATTTGACAGGTTATCGGCTTTGACAGGATCGGTTTTGAGAGGGTCAACTGTATAAGATTACTCTTTCTTAAGGGTATACATTTTCTATACCGAATATAACGAACTAGTACAAAGTTTAAAATTTTACAGTTCGTTATATGTCCATTATTAAGGTGATTAATTATAGAGGAAGTTGGTCTCATACGTAACTAATCCCGTGCTGGGCACTTATTTAATAGTATAAATCTTCTTAAAGCATACCATTTTAATAATTAGAAGACTTTATGATTTGTATCTGAGAAAATCCGATTATTTGTATCCGGACGAACCTGAGGATTTATATCAGAGTAAACCTGAGGATTTGTATCCAAGCAAGCCTGATTATTTGTATTTATAAGTGGATTAGACATTTTTGCTTCGTGCCTTCTTCGATACAATATGATGCCAACAGCTACTAATGCACTAACAAACATAATGGAGCCTATTACACCACCCACTATTGCACCTGTATTGGACGGAGATGGAGGTGGAGAGATGGTTGAAATTCCGTTTTCTCCCGGCTTACTTGGTTGAATTCCCAAAATAAAATTTGTCAATTGTAAATCTTTCGAATCTTTGGTGATGTCTGCAATCGCAACTCCGAATAAATTATTATTTTTTATATAGTTGAGTTTAGCATTTAACGATTGATAATCTTCATAGAAAGCAACATAGAATCTTGAAAACGGGTTATTCGGATTAGGATTAGACGAATTTGGTTGCTGGTAAAGATATGGTTGTTTCGCATTGTTAACAAAGCCATAGGTCCATGCTGGCGATGAAGTTAAATTTGTAGGACAAGAAGATGGTGATAATAAACTATTTAAATTTTCCCATGACAAATATGCATATGATGAGGATTTACACAGATCTGGAATCTGTTCATTAGCAAAAGGGAAATTAAAATTTGGGTTGTTCACTGGTCGAAGTTTATGATTCTCAATGTCCGATTTAATATTATTACTATCATCAGAAACAACTTCAACAATGCCACCGAATTCAACGCCTAACACGAGTTTTGAATAATTTACAAAATTATTCCAAGAACTCAAAATTTGTGAGATTTTGTCTACTCCAGCACTTGTAGTTGTGTCATTTATATTTAGATGAAATGCCTAAGATTTATAAATAGATAAATAGATATTTATAACATTACTCTTACGTAAACAAAAGGTAAAATTTACCTGAATATTTACAAAATCAATGATATCATAGGTTATATTTATAGGATATTGGCCTGCCGTAATCGTTAAACTCTTACCACTACCAAATAATTTTGCTGATATGCCAGTTAAGAAACTTGAAAAAACAGTAACAAATCCGGATGGACCGCATGGAAGTTTATAAGGATAATCAATATCAATCTACAAGTTAATAAAATGTATATAATTAATTAATTATTTAATAAATGTGTGCCGCCAAAGGAAAATAAGGAATCCTTGATTTTTGGATATTTCACTCCACAAGACAAGGGCTTACCGGACTTTGAAAATCTAATGATATCGATTCAACAGGAGGAACCTTTAATGTTGCACAACTAATCCGACAGCAGGTGAAGGATTATATATATGACAGTAGAGCGATTCAATATTGTAAAATAATTTTTTTATGAAGCGCATACCAGGTATGCAACATTGATGGTTCCTCCTGTCTATCAAGAATCGATCTTAATATGAGTGCCGCCAAGGGATAACGGTACCTCAGCAATTTAAGTATATTAGTTAATTATCGAGTTCAGCAATGATGCAGGTCGGGCTTTAAATTATACGTTATTCATACTAAATTTATACATTAATAGACACTTTATATTAACATTAACATTATTGAAAACCCGATCTACATCGTTGCTGAACCCAATAATTAATCAGTAATCGCCGAAGTTTTGGCGACACTCATCTGATGAAATGATGTAAACAATATGTTATTCTTCGGAGTTAATAATCCATATTCCATTAGTGTTGAATACGAAATTCAAGAATTACGTTTGGCGACACCCAAATATTCACGTAGACAATGTAAAATAAATTAGCTAATCTTACTCCGTCAAAACCATTAATAGTAACAATACTAACTAAGTCACTAATAAATTTAGAATTTTGAGTGCTATTCGGATAATACACCGAATTATTAATATTAAAGAAACTATTTAAATTATTCACATCAGTTGGTAACAAGACTGATAGAATTATCTATAACATAGCAATATGTCATTATTATTAATGTTAAATAAATCTTTTTAATGTAGATTTAGTAGATTTAATAGTTTATTACCTACCTTAAATTGTAGATTATTTTTTGTCTTATAATTTAACAGATCATTAAATTTGGAAGATTGATTGTTA